ATTCATACTGAGTAGAGGAATCAGCGCACGAGAGGAAGACGAGCATGCTGCTGTCATTTAATTAATACTGTCTGACAGACATCTTAGGATGCCTGAGCAACGAGGGAGACTGCCTTGGAGGAATCAGTGTGCAATCTTTTATACCACGTAGACACATGCAGAAACAAACACAAGCTCTTTCTCTCTTTCTCTGTCTCTCTCTCCCCCGTCGGAACCCCACAGCAGCACAGTCATCCTTCAACTGTCCTCCATCCCTGGCGGAGCGCACAGCTGCCCCACACTCAAGGATTCAATAATGAGTCCATCTTTTGCTGGCATCCCCATCCAAAAGACTTCCAGCCATACAGATGCTGTATGTTTAGCAAGTGTTGTGGCCAAACATATTATTAGAAAACACATTTTTCCATTGGTAATACACTCAGCTTGTGTCCCACTACTGTTCGCTACTGTCAATAGTCAAATCATGGCTTAGCAAATGGTCTACATGGGGTCCCAGTCAGAAAGATACTCAGAATCCAGAAAATGAAAAGAAATGGATTAAACAGTGTGCTCTAAAGTAAGCTTCTAACATTACAGGGTTTTTACTACATAGAGAAACATTTGCCCCCCCCCCCCAAAGAGGTTTAAGCGAGCACCAAAGGAAAATCCCTTGCACCAAAATGATTAGAACTGAAAAGATATACGTAGGCAAATTATGTAGGCTAATATCAGAAAATTGTTTTATTTGTGAAACAGCTGAATCTCAACTAATAAACTATCTGTAGGCAGATTATCCAAATAAAGTCTAACCTGTAAATATATTATACTAACATTATACTTTCGATTTAATGTTATTATATGTATTAACACTCATTTATAGTCGTGACTCCTCCCGGTTGTGGATATCTTTTGTTTATCAAATGGTCAGAAATGACAAGAAAATGCATAGATTTCTGTCATAAGGTAACTCATATCCTTTACTGTACGCGTACCAATCATGCTTACTGTCGTGCAACGTCACCCCCCAAAGGCCCATTCTGAGCCAGGAAAAACCCTGCTTTAACATGTCTGGATAACTAGCTTACTACCCACAGTACCAGCGCAGCATTACTTCTTTTTCCAAGAGTTAGCATGTCATTAGCTCTCTACATTATCATGTACTGTTACAGGGTTTCGGTAGAAAAAATTACATTCAAGTACGACACATCCACTGTTATCAGTGTCAGATGCTAACATATCAAAGTCTAGGATAACATTAGCGCTGCTCTTTTGCTCTTTACTGGATTTTAGGGAGTTTACCTGAGATATGTTTACCAAAATCATGGGTTCATCTCATCCTCGAATACTCTCTAAAACTAAAACATTAAAATACTGATAAATCTTGAATGTAACAGTATGGTTGCTAACTTTCTAATAAGGCGCGCTTTATAAAGACTTCATAGCTGTAACTAATATTTTACTAATGGTTAAACTATTTAATTATACGTTACAGGACAGTTACACGTAGGGGTCAACCAATAATCAGTCTGGCCGATTATCGGCGCCGATATTCAGAATTCTTCTGTGTGTACTCACCACTCTGTGTGCAGGAGCAATGTCTCGTCCACAGTACTAGCTGATTGGTTACAAGACACGAGTAAAAGCCTATCAACACTGACTATTGCGCGGAAGAAGCCAACAGAACAAGCAAGCCACCACGCTGCAGCCCCTCCCCTCCTGTCTCAGCAGAGCTCCGCATACACACACATGCGGAGCAAAGTGTAGAATATGCAAGTTGACCATAACTACACATGTGCAGCAAAACCAGCAAAACTAGAAAAAGGCTGTTATAGCATCAGTACAACAAGCAGGAATGTGCACCAAGCGATATTTTAATCTGCTCTGTCTCATCCACCGCAGCTGTGTTTTGGTTTTACACAAGTACATGTGCTAGCTTGGCTAATAGCTAGTTTTAAACAAGCTAAATCTCTCCGTCTGTAGCCTGTTTAGCTGAGATGCTACGTATCTTAAAATGTACTCCTCCTTGCAAACACAGCTACTTGTTGAGAGAAACCAGCTCCTCTCTAGCAGCAACAGCAGAGGGAGGAGGAGAACATGAGGAGGACTGATACTGACTGATGTCTTCTTTCTAAACTTTACTCAGTATTTTGATGTCAGAAATATGGTTTATTTAACATGTTCCATTTGTTTCCAGTGAGATACTGATTTCATATTGTTACTTTGCTGCTGTAAACTTTACTTTTGTTGCTGCTCTGAAAACAGTTAGTTATAATAAAATGTCAAATTTGATTACTGTTCTGAATTTATTATTTTTTAAATAACATTTTTATGAGATAAGAAGATTTAATTTACTATTTATAAAGATTAAACATGACAATTAACTTTAATCTTGTTATTTTTAACAAAGTTTTGTGTTATTCTAAATTTTGACACCAAGATTAAAAATGTTACAGCAAATGTATAACAGTTCCAAATATCGGTCATCAGTCTAATTGGTTACTGATAATTGGTATCGGTATCGGCCCGGAAACAAACACATCGGTCGATCCCTAGTTACGACCCATTAATAAGTACAACATTTGGGTTTCCAAGTTGTTAAAAATCTTTCCAAGTATTAAGTTTGACCTCACCACTAATAACCATACTAATACCACTAGATAACCATTAATTAACCATAATAGATGTTAATATATTTTTATTTAATGGATCAGATGTCCTGCAAAATGTTTCCAGGCACGGTCACAGGATGGTTTTCCTGATGAACTGAGGAGCAATAAAAGGTTAAGGCCAAAGGGATTTTGAACTGGCTTTTGACTGGCAACCTAAAAGTTAATGCTTTATAACTGATCTATTAAACATTAGTAAATGATTAATTTACCATATATAAATCCATTATAAATTACGCGGTTCTTACACCGTTCACGAAAGGTGGGTGACATGACTTGTCAGAAAGTGGTACATACATGACAGATTTCAGCTTCAACACAGCACACAATGAGGATTGTTGAGGAATTACTAGACTGCTTGTAAAAACGAAAAAAATCTTAATATTCGTCTGCTGAGATTTTTGGCAGAGAGTGGAGTGAATTTTTTATTTTAGAAGTCTGTCACTGTGGTATCTTTCAGTAGTCCTGCTTTCTCATGTAGATATACATTTGGGGATTCAATCTATTCTGATGTATTCTCCAGGATTAACTTGTCAAAAAGGTAATTTTCTGTTTTCCACATTTTCAGCACAGCACTAGCAAGATGATTTCTCACGAGTCTCTGTCTGTGGTTCTCTTTCTCTGACTGCCCTCCTTTCTCTGTCTGTGCACCTCGCACTGCGTTTTCTACCACTGAACAGATTTATGAACAAACCCAGACACAGGGTGAAACTCCAAAAATAAAAAGACAAGGGAATTCTCCACCAAAATAATTGAAATGCTCAAGCTGAGAGGATCCAACAGTCCTGAACACAGTGTGGGACGAGGGAGTGTTATATTGCACTGTATGATCACTACCACCAGTGTAGATTATGAACACATCCACATCGGGTCCCGCGAGATTACATCAAATCAAATCACAGCAAAAGGGGATTTGGTGCAAATGTGTGTGTTTGTCATGGACGTGTCTTCATCCATATGCGTGTCTGACTGTGTGTACATACATTTATTACATAACAGCTCTGCATGCATATGGGTCAGAGGCAGTTGATCAGTTAATGATGGTGACAGCATGAAAACACGAAGAGGATTTGAACTCCAGGAGAGGCGCTGAGAGAGAGAGAGAGAGAGAGAGAGAGAGAGAGAGAGAGAGAGAGAGAGAGAGAGAGAGAGAGAGAGAGAGAGAGAGCAGGGACGTGGAGGGAGGTGTTAGTCTTTGCTGAGCTGCGTGTATGATTGTGTGTGTGTGTGCGTGTGTTTAATAGTGTGATCATCCACGGTCCTTTGCTGCCATACTGGTGGGAGATGGATTTGCGTGACGCTGCGTTATGTGTTTATGACATAAGATTTGACAGTGTTTAAATATGATAACAATGTTGAGATAAAATTAGACATATTACAGTTATAAGAGTGGTATAATGTGTGTGCTTTTGTTTTGCATTTCAAATCCTCTTTTTTCGTTCAACTTTTTTTTCTTTTCAATCCAATCAAGCAAGTTTGTCTATTCATTTATAATGGCCAGTTTCTTTTGAGCCTCTGGAACAGATAGGGATTAAATATCTTGCTCAGGGACACTTGAGCATGTATGGACTAGTAGGAAATTGAACCCGGCCTCCTTGGATGGATTGACTAACCTGACTATCCTGTGGCCCTCTCACTCCTAAGAGCATCAGAGGTTTTGGCTCTTTTGCTGAAAGGTGCGTACAATAGAATTTTAATTTACAGTTTCAAATAAAAATGATTCTCCTCGATTGATCGGGAGAAAACTTAGAGCTTTTATACAAAGTTTTGTTTGGACTTTGTTTCAAAAATGGTGTACAGCATTGTGTATTTCAGAGCCCAACCGATAAATTGGCGTGCTGTTATTATCGGCTGATTTGAGCTAATTGCAAGTAAATCTATATCAGTGTTTATAATATATGACAATGACAATATAGATATAACAGACGAATAAAATATAAACTAAGCGACGGAAGACAGATCCTTCAATGTTATTAGTGTAACACAGTTTTTGGCGCTCTGCAACTCCCCTGTTGCGAACAATGTTAGGAACAAATCCACCACAAAACCCAGCAATCAGCCGACATAATCAGTTGTACTTTTGTTCAAAGTACTATTTATAACAATAAAAAAGTGTACTTTTAAACTGCCTTAGGTCATGTTATCTTGGTGAGGTCTCAAAACTAAACATAACACATCTTTGTTATGTTTTTGTGAAAAGAAGAAAAAAATAAATATCAGCCAATATATCAGAATATCGGCTTTTAAAATCCTCAAAAATCGATATTGGTCTTAAAACTCCCATATCAGTCGGCTCTAGCGTATTTTCTCATTCCATACTGTATATCTATACTGTGTATTGTGCCTCCAACTCACCGGTGATAAACAGAGTGTATGGGACTCCCGCCTCATTGAGCATTCGTTGGATGTGGTTGTTGTAGAGCATGAGTGCCTGTCCATTCCCGCTCTGTGGGTTCACCAGCAGCATCATCCGGCACGGACGAGGCAACTTGCTCATCAACACCCCTACAAAAGGAGAGAAAAGTAAATTTGATGACTGAAAACGCAAAATGGCTGACTTCTAATAAGATGCAATCATACCGTAACCTTTTAGTATAGGTCTGTCTCTGACAGAACAGTTTCAGTGCAGACCACGCTGTTATCGTCAAGCACTGGGAACTTGACTAAAGTTGATTCTGATCTTTAAAATTTTTACAGAAAAAAAAAAAAAGACGACTCAGTCACTCCTGTTTTAAAATACCTGTTAATATCTCTAAATAATAACAGAATACACTTAAGGATAAATGAACGTCAAGGGGCAATTTAAATAACAATAACAGTTGCAGTTTCATATGATCTAATGTCTGTAGCCAGCTACTGTATATAATTAGAAAACGTAACACTGTGCATAGAATTGACAGGATAGAAGCAAAAACAAAAGGTCAGCAGTCAGTTTCACACCATTCAACACACACACACACACATACACAAAACTAACCCAACACTGAATCTGAAGATGGACGAGTACAGAAGTAACAGCCTTTTTGGTAAATTTTTAACTGCAGGGCTGATGCAAAGTAGTCTTCAAAATATCTCTAGGATCAAACAGATTTCAGAGGGTAACACAGATCTTACATTTCCTAAATCTTTTTAAAACACTCAGAAGATTTCCGTCTCTCAGAGGCACAGCATGGGGCTAAAGAAGGGATGAACTGGAAGAAGCTGGTTTTGGCCTTCTGTCCCACAGCGTCTGAGGAGGATTAATTAAGTACTGCAAACATAAGACTGTGCTTTGCCTAAATATTAGATTATAATTCGATATCTAAGACGAAAACTAAATTGAAACGTAGATATGATGGAAATCAGGGTATGAGGGGAGCTAATAGCTCTGAGAGAGAGGAAGATAAGGGGATTATATAATGAACGTTAGAGAAAATGACACTGTGAATTCCTGTAAGAAAAAGTTTTTGGGGCAAATAACTAAATTACTCTCCTTTTCCCCATCTCTCTTAAAATATGTTTTTATTATGTCTCAAAGAGAAGTCAAATAAAAGTGACATTTCGTGCATTGCAGCAGTGAGATAATCTTACAGGTAGGAACACAAAGTCTTCTCTGTTGTAGAAAAGGCACTCACGCCTTGTCAACAGGCGCACGAAACAAACTATTTCCCCCTGGAGCAAGATCTCAATTTGTTTTGCTGTCTGCAGGTTCTTTTTCTAGGATCAAAACATTGCAAGGGAGGAAGGAGGGCCATCCAAACAAGTCTGGCAGCTAATCAATGAGTAACGTTGGGCGTGACCAACTGAAGTGCAGACGCACGGGGGATAGATATAATTGACATGGTTCCTTTAAGTTGATCGTGCACTTCCAGTGGAATCACAGTGATCCTACTGGAATGCTGTGAAACAGGTCGGAATAATGCTCACAAGTTAAGACACCTTAACCTCTTTTGTTTAACCTGTGTTACAGGTTAAACAAAAGAGGTCTACAGGGTTTTGTCTTCTGATACTCCTGAATGTAACTAAAAGGTAGAAAGTGTACACATTCAGTTGCTTCAACAAAATGAATACCACAACAGTCCTGCAATAAAAACCTTCCTTCATGAAAGTTAGAGCTGAAACGATTAATCAAGAAATTCAAATAACTCAATTACTAATAAGCATCGATGCTTCATTTAATCCATAATTATAGTGCACTGCTGCGCATGGAACATTATTACTGTCACACAACGTGCTTACGTTGTGGACAAGTGAAGACGACATGATTTGACGGTGCGGACTGCAAAGGGCAGAAAGAGAGAGAAAACAGCGAGGGACGAAGAAAAGAGAGAGGAAAAAGTGTCCAAAGTAAGGAATCCTTTCAAGCTAAATAAAAAACTCTGTACAGTGTGTGTACTGTAAAACAGAACTGGCCTACCACAACACCACGACGGCTTCAGCTTCAGCATCTGAGCATAAAGCATCCGGCCTACGCATCAAGTCCACAGAGCGGAACCAAAACAAGGTAATGTTAAAGTTAGCATTTATTATTAATCATGATTGCTAGTTGAGATGAAGGCTAGCAAAGCTAAGTCACAATTCTTGGTCATAAATTTATAAATGTGCCTTTGTTGTTATTGTTCTCGAACTGCTTGGTCTGTGAGTTTGGGTTGTACAATGACATGAGTTACACAGCTGACCCTGGTACAGAACACCAAGCAAAAGTATTTCTTATCCGATTACTCGGTGAATCGATTAAATAATCTGTAGAAAACCCAATTACTAAAATAATCGATAGCTGCAGCCCTAGAAGGTTATGATGTTCAGTTTTTGATAAAAATGTTATAGAGAGGTGTTTATTCAACTGTATGACCATAGAGTCCTCCACTGGAGAATGTAGTTTATGGTGCTGTGTTTTTAATCTTAGACTAAACCCCTATAAATGTGGTGGACATGATTACATTTATTTATTAGTTTTTTCTCATTCATTCAACATTTTTTCTGAGAGCTTAGACTGGAAAAAAGTCAACTAATGGGAAATAAGTGTGACACAATCATCAGCCAGATTTGAATCACAGCAGTCACAGAATATTTTCTATGTAATTTGTCACATTCAATGCAGATATCAAACACATTATCTATAACAACAGTTTTATTAAGTCATTAAGGGATTTCTATCCATCCATCCGGTTTCAGGTAATGGGGAGTCTAGACATTATCCAAGCACGCACTATGACACACAACACACCCTCTTTCCAGATCAGTTTGTACAGCGTCGCAATAAAAACACGAGCATAACCACATGAGTCTGTGACATGTCTCCTGGTACTGCACCATAAAAAATACAATATGCATACTGTGGTTCATTTGTACTCACTTTATAAACATTTTGGTCCTCAGACCTATTAAAGGCCTTATGACTGAAACATTGCTCCTGACAATAACAATAACTTTTGGGTTTGCAAGAACTTTGCAGTATTGTAAAATTGAAATTGTTTCAAATGTCAAAGTGAAAAAATGCAATACATATATGTGCAATAATGATTTTGTTTCTAGAAATAATACAAAAAGATTAATTATTTAATTAATTAATTAAACTATATATTAAATATATTTAATATATATTAAAGTATATCTGCTACATAACCTTTTTAACTGCAAACTGACAAATTCACAATTCTTGTATCGTTTCGACGGGTTTATAAAGGCGCAGTCACGTTCTCTGCGGGATGAATATTTCTATGGAGTCTCAAAATCATAACGACTGGACTCCTGAGGGAAAGCCACACAAGTGCCCTCATGAATCAGCGTGCATGACAGCAGGCCCTGAGCTTAGACCTTGTTGGTTAAATCCAACCCCATGCCACTTCCTGTGTGCCACCCCTCCTCTTCTCAAAACATTCCAGAGGGCACTATCTATCTACTCGTCTCTGTCCGTCCACGCTCTGGGTTTCCTCCTCTATCATTATCTCGGCTGCAGCAAAGTCCTGGCATGGAGCCAAAGTATGAGCATCTAAAAAAGCTCACTAAAATCAACAGAAACACAAAGAAAATATATTTTCCAACAATCCCATAGTCGATAAATATCCACAATGCTGGACAGTCTGCAGTGGATTTTTAATGAAAATGGAGCAGCAGACTGTGTCTCCGGTTTATTTGTACAGGGATGGGTATACGCCTAATTGTTTAGTGATGATATAAATTGCTACAGATTAACAATTATGTTGCCACAACCGTCTGTTCCTGGTTGGTTAATCAGGCTGAAAAAAATAAATTATGAAAAACAATAAAAAAATAAAATAAAAGCTCTGTCACTCTGGTGACAGAGCTTGGACAGGCATAATTACCTAGACAAAACATTTGTGGAAAAAACTAAATTACTGTCATGGATGAAGTGATAAAGTGGATGACACTACTGTAGATTAACAGTCAACCTAGCCATCCTCCAAAACAGCAGCCGAGACGAGAAATAGATGAAAAACAACCACAGCAAACAAAAGCTCTGCATCTCAACCACATTCACTTGATCTGTGATTACAGACGTCTCATCAGCGCCATTCAAACCAAGAGCATGGGAACGGTCCCAGATCTTAATGGAATAATCACTACTGAGGTATTCACCATAGGAAATGACTAAATGAAAGGGAAAAACCCAGGAGCCAGAAAAAACACATCTTCCGGCAAGGTTCCTATCTGAGCGCATATAGTCTGAGCATAAACAGCTTTCTTAGCTTTGTCTGACGACTCTCCAGTACATTCAGCAGGATGTCAGCTGCTATAAACCAGACACAGAGAAGAAGCTTTCACTGTAAACTTAAACTGTATCCTCCAATTTTCCTTGAGTGCAGGAAAGTGTTGCAAAAAAGGGTTTGTTCCATTCTCAGCACCATGAACAGGAAAAATTTTCATATTTATTTGTTGGCATTTGTATTTTTTACTGATATAAAATGCCGTTACATGTCCTCATTATGTAAACAAATAAAATTATCCATGGCCTTATACGGTCACTCTCTCAATTAAAAGCATCACCACTGCCTGACAACTCACACTGACTCACAGTGATGACCTGTGCGTACGTCAGTCAGTCATACTGCTCTTTCACATAACTTCCTTCAAATCAGCTCCCCATCAGCAGTGAAGCATGTCGAAGCATTAACCGTCTGTGATTAAGGAAAGAAGTTACAATCTTGATTTCCAGGCTTTCATCACACTTAGCTGAGCACACAACACACCACTCAGGCAGCAACTCAAATGGGACCTGTCCCACTCTGTCCAGATTTGGCATCATTAGGGACTTAAAGGAAGAGAAGAGACATCAGGACACGTTTTGCTTTGTGTTTGGAAGATTAGGATTTCATTTTTGTAGGAAAAGATGAGTCTAATCCATAGGTCTAATCTAAAAGAGAAGTCTGATGTAACATAATTGATCCTTCACTAAGCCACGCCCCCCTTAGTTACTGTTGCTAAGTCCGACAAACTGTTGGACTTTATTCACGGCGCTGCCACAGTCTAAAAACCGATCTCAGAAAGAAGCAGATGGAAAGGTT